TCCAAATTTTCTCAAAATACGCTTTTGATCAAAAAGTCTAGCAAACCTCGTCCGAATGACCTGAAATTTTGCAAACACGTCACATTCAAAACTACGGAGCTACTCCAACTTCCGGAATTTCATTCCAACCCTCGAATCAAAATCTCACTATCGGACCGGAAACTTCAAAAAACAACTTTCGGCATTTCAAACCTAAATTAGCTACGGACCTCCAAAACACAATCTGAACACGCTCCTAAGCTCGAATTCACCTAACGGGGCTAACAGAACCATCAGATTTCCATTACGAGGCCTTCTTTATACTGTTCTGACTATGGTCAACTTTCCAACACTTAAGCTCTTATTTAGGGACTAAATGTTCCAAAACTCTTCGAAATTCAAAACCGTACATCCCGGCAAATCAAAATAGCAGAAATAAACTCGGGGAAGGCAGTTAAAAGGGGATCGAGGCATAAATTCTTAAGACGACCGGCCGAGTCGTCACATCCTCCTACACTTAAGCATTCGTTCATCCTCGAAAGAGCATAAAGACATATCTAAAGTAGTGAAAAGATGAGAGTAACGGCTGCTCATATCCTACTTGGTCTCCCAGGTTGCCTCCTTGACCGGCTGACCCCGCCACTGAACCTTTACTGCAGCAATGTTCTTTGACCTCAGCTTTCTAACCTGCCTGTCCAATATTGTCACTGGCTCCTCAACATAAGATAAATCCTTGTCCAATTGGACTGAACTGAAATCCAACACGTGCAACGGATCACCGTGATACCTCCAGAGCATCGAAACATGAAATATCGGATGAACTCCTGCCAAGCTGGGAGGTAAGGCAAGCTCATAAGCAACCTCGCCAACATGGCTCAATATCTCAAAAGGGCCAATAAACCTCGGACTCAACTTTCTTTTCTTTCCAAATCTCATAACGCCCTTCATAGACGAAACCCGAAGCTGAACAACATCACGAATATTCCGGTCCGCGTAACTCTTCTGTCTAGACTGGGTTGTATGTAGTCTATCCTGAATCACCTTAACCTTCTTCAAATCATCCTGAACTAAGCCCGTGCCCAATAGTCTTGCCTTACCCGGCTAAAACCAACCCACCAGAGATCTACACTCCCTACCATATAAAGCCTCATACGGTGCCATCTGAATGCTGGAATGATAACTGTTGTTGTAAGAGAACTCCGCCAATGGCAAGAACTGATCCCAAGACCCTACAAATTCAGTCACACACACACGGATCATATCCTAAAGAATCTAAATAGTGCGCTCGGCCTATCCGTCCGTCTGAGGGTGAAATGTTGTACTCAACTCCACCCGAGTAACCAACTCATGCTGAACGACCCTCCAAAACTTTGATGTGAACTGCGTACCTCTATCTGAAATGATGGACACTGGAATACCATGCAGACGAACAATCTTCCGATATAAATATTCGCCTATCGCTCCGAGGAATAAGTAGTGCACACAGGAATGAAATGAGCGGACTTGGTCAGTCGATCCACAATCACCGAAATAGCATTGAACTCTCTCAAAGTCTGTGGGAGCCCAACTACAAAGTCCATGGTGATCCTCTCCCACTTCCACTTCGAGTTCTCTATCTGTTGAAGTAATCCACCTGGTATCTGGTGCTCATACTTCACCTGCTGATAGTTGAGACACCGAGCTACGAATCCAACTATATCTTTCTTCATCCTCCTCCACCAATAGTGTTGTCTCAAATCCTGATACATCTTTGCGGCACTCGAATGGATGGAATACCGCGAACTATGGGCCTCCTCTAGAATCAACTCTCGCAGCCCATCGACATTGGGCACACAAATTTGACCTTGCATCCTTAATACCCCATCATCACCAATAGTCACATCTCTGGCATCACCGTGCTGAACCTTGTCCTTGAGGACAAGCAAATGAGGGTCATCATATTGTCGCTCTGTGATACGATCAAATAAGGAAGACCGAGAAACCACGCAAGCTAGAACCGGACTAGGCTCCGAAAGATCTAATATCACAAACTGGATGGCTAAGGCCTGAACAACCATCGCCATAGGCCTCTCCGATGCTAGTAGATAAGGCAAACTCCCAAACTCTCTGCCCGGTGACTCAAAGCATCGGCCACCACATTGGCCTTGCCCGTGTGATACAAAATAGTGATATCATAGTCCTTTAGCAACTCTAACCATTGCCTCTGGTGCAAATTTAGATCCTTTTGCTTGAACAGGTGCTGCAAGCTCCAATGGTTAGTATAAATCTCATAGGGAACCCGGTATAAATAATGATGCCAAATCTTCAGTGCGTGAACAATGGCAGCTAACTCAAGGTCATGAACATGGTCGTTCTTCTCATGTACTTCAACTGTCTGGACGCGTAGGCAATCACCCTTTTGTCCTGCATCAACACCACTATGAGGCCAACCCTCGAGGCGTCATAATTGACCATATAAGACCCCAAACTTGTAGGCAGTATCAAAATTGGGGCTGTGGTCAAAGCTATATTAAGCTTCTGAAAGCTCGCCTCACACTCCCCCGTCCACTGGAACAGAGCACCCTTCTGGGTCAACCTGGTCATAGGGGCTGCAATCGATGAAAACCCATCCACAAAACGATGGTAGTAGCCTGCCAAACCAAGGAAACTACGGATCTCGGTAGCTGAGGATGGTCTAGGCCAACTCTGCACGACCTCTATCTTCTTCGGATCCACCTGAATACCCTCACTCGATACCATGGCCTAAGAATGCCACTGAATCCAACCAAAACTCACATTTCAAGAATTTATCATATAACTTCTTCTCTCTCAAAGTCTGAAGCACAGTCCTCAGGTGCTGCTTATGATCTTCCCGACTCCGGGAATACACCAGAATATCATCAATAAAGACAATGACAAACGAGTCAAGATACAACCGGAACACACTGTGCATCAAATGCATAAAGGCTACTGAGGCATTGGTCAGCCCAAATGACATAACAAGGAACTCGTAACGACCATACCGAGTCTTGAAAGCAGTATTCGGGATATCTGGCTCCCGAATCTTCAACTGATGGTAACCTAAGCGCAAGTCAATCTTAGAAAACACTCGTGCGCCCTAAAGCTGGTCAAACAGATCATCAATACGAGGTAAAGGATAACAGTTCTTCACTGTAACCTTGTTCAACTAGTGATAATCAATATACATACGCATAGAACCATCTTTTTTCTTCACAAAAAAGATAGGAACACCCCAAAGTGGTACACTGGGCTGAATAAAACCTTATCAAGCAATTCATATAACTGATCCTTCAACTCAAGAGGAGCCATACGATATATAGGGATAGAAATGGGGTGAGTGGCCGGCGACAGATCAATGCCAAAATCAATATCTCTATCAGACGGCATGCCTGGAAGATTAGCTGGAAACACATCGGGAAAATCCTGTACTACTGGAACTGAATTGACTAAAGGGGTATCAATGCTTATATCTCTCACATAAGCTAAATACGTGTCACACCCCTTCTCAACCATACGCTGAGCTTTAGGAAAAGAAATAACTCTAATGGGAGTGTCATTTAAAGTACCCCTCCACTAAACACGCAATACACCTAGCATAACCAGCATCATAGTTTTGGCGTGACAATCAAGAATAGCATAATTGGGCGACAACCAGTCCATGCCCAAGATAATATCAAAGTCAACTATACTGAGTAACAATAAATTGGCTCTGGTCTCAAAACCACTAAGAGCAACCAAACACGACCGATAAACGCGGTCCACAATAAGAGAATCTCCCATAGGAGTAGAAACATAAACATGGGAACTTAAAGAATCCCGAGATACACCCAAATGTAGAGAAAAATAAGAAGACACATAAGAATAAGTGGAGGCTGGATCGAATAGAACCGATGCATCTTTGTGACAAACCAGTATAATACATATGATGACAGAATCGGAGGCAACAGCCTCAGTACGGGTAGGAAGGGCATAGTATCGGGCTTGGCCTCCCTCTCTAGGGTGACATTTACCTCCCCGACCTCCACCTCTGGCTGGTTGAGTAGGTGGGGTAGCAACTGAAGCAATAACCATAGCCTGAAAACTCTCTAGGGCATGTTGTGGCTAAGAAGTCTGTGGTGGTGCACTCCTCCCAAGTCTAGGGCAATCCCTCACCACGTGGCGTGTGTCACCACACTCAAAACAAGCTCTAGGAGGATGTGGCGGCTATGACTGTCTCGGGCCAGGTTTGCTGGACTGAACCCTGAAAACACCCCGCGCAGGAGGCGCGTTAGAAATTAGAGGTGCATAATAAGGCTCCTGAGGCCTAGGAGAAGCTAGAATACCACTGGCTGCTGGAAGAGCTAAATGAACAGGGCGACTCATATAACCCATACCATGACGACCTACAGTTGGGGCACGGGCGCCAGAGAAATGGCTCGACTCTCGAGACCTCTTGTCCTCCCTCTCCCTAGCATGCATACCCTTAATCCTCCTAGCAATGCTCACCACCTGCTGATAAGAAATATTCATCTCCAACTCACGAGCCATGCTAGACTTGATGTTGGGAATAAGGCCCTCAATAAACCGACGAACCATCTAGCGAACAGTAGAAACCAAGGTTGGTGCATGCCTAGCCAAACTGGTGTAACAGACAGCATACTCTGAGATAGTCATAGTACCCTGGTACAAATGCTCAAACTCTATGCGCCATGCGTCCCTGAGGCTTTGAGGAACATACTCCCTCAGGAACAGATATGAAAACTGAGTTCAAGTCAGTGAAGCAGCCTCATCTGGACTGTCTAACTCATAGGCAGCTCCTCGAAGCTGGAAGGTAGTGAGGGAAAGCCCGCTCGATCCTATTATACACATGGTGTGGAGAATGCGGTAACACTCATCTAGAAATCCCAGAGCATCCTCCTATTCTAGACCACTGAATAAAGGAGGCTTGTACCTCTTGAACCTCTCAAGCCTCAGCTGCTCCTCCTCGAAAACTGCTACCCTGACCTCAGGCTGAACTGGCACTGTAGGCGGTACAGGAATAATCTCAGGGACCTGCTCAACATGCACTCGCTGCTCAGGAGTGCGGGTGGCGGGAGTCTGTGCTCCTCCCCCTTCCTGAGATGCAGCTGCAGTAAGGGGATGCAACCCTGCCTGAGCCAAAATGGTGTACATGCTCATGAACTGTGTCAGTCTCCTGAAAAGCTGGAGTAGTAGTAGCAGTAGGCGTGTCAGGTGCCTGGACTCCGGCTAGAACTACTGGTGGTACCTTGGTGGTAGCTCGCGCAGGTGCTCTTTCTGCACCACGTGCGCATCCTCGGCCTCTACCCCGCCCGTGTCCTCTACCCTGGTTGCAGCCTCTAACGGCTACAGTAGGGGCGCGGGTGCCTGATCATCTTAGGTAGCACGTGTCCTTACCATCTGTGAGAGAATAGAATATAGAAGTTTAGAATTGTGATGTCAAAATATCGCACGACAAGGAAATCAAATGAAGTGGAAATTTTCCTAACACTTACATAGTCTCTCGTAGATAAGTACAAACGTCTCCGTACCGATCAGCGGGACTCTAATAAATCGGCTTGTGATCCATGACTCCTGTGAACCTAGAGATATAATATCAACTTGTCATGACCCCGGTTCGCCCTCTGTGAACCATCATGATGACACCTAGTATCTACGACTAGGTAAGCCTAAGTTGCGGAAGAAAAACCAAATTTGTGGAAGTAAAATAGTTTAAAACAGAACTAAAGTAATAACAATGTTTTAAAGGTGTTGCTCGATATACACCATGTTTAACTCTCAATACCAATACATAGATCCAAGACCCGGAAACTCACGAATCACAAGCTAAGAAAAATATTACATAACTCTAACTCCAGAATGTCTAATAAGAGGGGAAATACAAAAAGGCTAAATACTAAAAGCAGGAATAGAAAGGGACTTCTCGGTCTGCGGGCACGACAGATGTACCTGGAAGTCTCTAAGCAGTCGCCTCCCTCAAAGATGGTAGGCCTGAGTAGCAGTACCTAGATCTGCACATGAAAAACATGGGCAGAAGGGGCATGAGTACTCCACAACAGTACTAAGTAAGTGTCAAATCTAACCTCAGTGGGGTAGTGACTAGGAATGTCAGGGCCCTACTGAGATTAATGAAATAAATACTAAGATGACAGGATAAGATAAGCATTACAATTAAGAATCTACAGCAAGAATCTGTACAAGATAATAAGAGTACAATAACAAAAATAAAGATTAAGACAAAATGCGAGGAAATACCACTCATAACAAGGAGGATAACCGGGGGATCTCTGGGTATCCTCTATGTATACAAGGGATCTCTTGGTATCCCGAGGATCTCTTGGTATCCTCAATATATGTTAGGGATCTCTTGGTATCCTCAATATACTTGCCAGGGATCTCTTGGTATCCCGCACCTCAGTCGAGATCATAATTTCATACAGGGGATCTCCCGAGCTGCCGTCTCGTAGTCCCAATTTAAAAATACACAGAAGCAACACAAGAATACTCAATTTAAAGACAATTCCATACCAAGTAAACATTTGATTCTAGCCTAACATGCTTCATGTAATGCAATTAAGGCAGGTTAAGCAAATAAATAGTTAAGTCAATTAGGCATACTCTTTCTAAGCTAACAACAGGTTTAAATTGCATGTAAAATGAAACAAGAAAAGGAACACAATTGAAATTACGTAAAGAAAATCGGATTTTTAAAGATTAGCTTCAAGTACAAACTCGTCACCTCATGCACAAGGTGTTTCAAATATCAAATATACTGAATCCTAAGGGGAAGGTCCCCCACACAGGGTTAGACAAGCCACTTACCTCGAAACGGCTCAATAATCAATCCAAACCCACGCTCTTGCCACGAGTACTCAACTCCAAATGGCCCAAATCTATTCAATTCAATTGCATAATGTAAATAACACTTCAAGTAACGGATTCTACAAAGAAATTCTAAGCTAATATGTGAAATTATGTAAAATGACCAAAATGCCCCTTGGGCCCACGTCTCGGAATCGGGTAAAATTTATATTTTAAGAAACCACACACTCTCACGAGTTCATGCATACCAAAGTTACCAAAATCGGACCTCAAATGGTCCCTCAAATCATTACTCAAAGTTCTCCAATACTAAGCCCTAGTTTCCCCAATTTTTCACCCTTAATTTCCATGATTTCTAGCTTTAATCCGTGAAATAATATCATAGGAACAAGTTTTAGCTCCAAATTCCTTACCTCAATGAAGTTCCCTTAAAATCCCTCTTTCAAATTGTTCGAAAAGCTCCCAAGCAGTGATACAAATGTTGAAATAAACCCCAAAGTCGCGGAACCCCTTTTAAAATAATCTACCCAGCAGTTTACGCATCTGTGGCTTTGGGACTGCTTCTACGGTCCCGCATGTGCGGAATAATTGGTCACATCTATGACTTACACTTACGGTCTAACTGCCGCACCTTCGATTTACTATCCACATGTGCGGTACTGCTTCTGTGGTTAACTACCCGCATCTGCGGAACCTACTGCTACTCCACAACTCCGCCCCCACGTTCGCTGAGCCGCATCTACGGTGTCGCACCTGCGGAACCCAAACCGCAGGTGTGGCTATGATAGCACCAGCAGCTGAAGCTGCAACTTAAAATCCAAAATCTTTCCGTCAACCATTCAAATTCATCCCGAGGCCTCCGAGACCTAAACCAAAGACACCAACAAGTCACAAAAAACCATCCAAACTTGTACCAATATCAAAACCTCTAATTAACCAAGGATTTAAGCCTAAGAACTCCAAATTTTCTCAAAATATGCATTCTATAAAAAAGTCTAGTAGACCTCGTCCGAAAGACCTGAAATTTTGCACAAACGTCACATTCAACACTACGGAGCTACTCCAACTTCCGGAATTTCATCCCGACCCTTGGATAAAAATCTTACTATCAGACCGGAAACTTCAAAAATTCAACTTTCGGCATTTCAAGCCTAAATTAGCTACGGACTTCCAAAACACAATCCGAACAAGCCCCTATGCCTGAATTCACCAAATGGAGCTAACGGAACTATCAGATTTTCATTCTGAGGCCATCTTCACAGTGTTCTGACTACGGTCAAATTTCCAATACTTAAACTCTCATTTAGAGACTAAGTGTCCCAAAACTCTCCGAAATTCAAAACCGTATATCCCGGTAAATCAAAATAGTAGAAATAAACTCGGGGAAGGCAGTTAATAGGGGATCGAGGCGTAAATTCTTAAGACGACTGGCCGGGTCATCACACCAGAGCTGTCACACCTCCTTTTTCTACCCGAAAGGGTATAGGGGAGTTTTTCCAATTAAAGTGACAAAACCGAAATAGGATTATTTATTCAAATTCAGAGTCACCACTTGGGATAATTTATGGTGTCGCAAGTCACCGGTTTAAAATCCCGAATCGAAAAAGTTTGACTCTGTTTTACAGTCCGCGAAACACAAAAATTCAGGTAAGGAATTATGTTAACCTGGGAGAAGGTGTTAGACATTCCCGGGTTCTGTGGTTTTAGCACGGTCATTCAACTATTATTAATTGGCCTAATTATCTGATTAATTACATATTTTATAATTATTGTGCACTTTTAGCTTTTCAACCGCTTTTAATTATTTATGGATTTATTTCTGGAATAAGTTACGATTGTCGTACACTTGTTTGTTTTTGTACATGTTGCGAATCGTGTCACGGGAACCGTACCCACAATCTGCAACACATGTATTTTATTAATATTCGAAGTTGGGGTCAGGTCACATGAAATATGCACCCGACTTTGGGAATTACGTATCATAACCATGTCACAAGAACCGTACCCACAGTCACGCTGATTTATTAATAGCATCTAAAGGAAGCTACGATGTTTATGGATATTATTTTTCTTATTAAACTAATTTGAGATTATTGCGAGGCCAAAGTTATGAAATGATTTATTGTGGAATCATCTGTGAGCAAAATTGTATTTAGAGAAATAAAATATAAAATTTTGACAGTAACAATTTAAACTCTTGAAATATGTTTGAACCCATACTTGGGTACGACAATAAAGGCATGAAGTCGATGGTAACAAAAACCTTGTTTGGGCCTATTAACAGGCCCAATAATTTTCAAAGCATTCATTAGATTTTCTTCCGAACTCCAATCGCCCAGCACAACATGGAACTAACGAGTTATATGGCAAACACATATGATTTTCAAATTTCAACACAATACAGAATTATTTATAAAGACTGACATTCGAAATCTGCTTACAATTAACAAGCAATTTTATGAACTAACACTCTTTCTTCAACTACATGCTAACTCAATTACTTCAGGTCGAACTAACTACAATAGATTGATGCTTTAATCAAGGAAAACCAACTTAACAAATCAGATCCTCATGAGCCTAAACCTTCATTTGGTAGAATCATTACTGACATAATTTACACATAATGTCCAAGCAAAGTGATACAACTTTTTTACCAACTGCCAACGTGATTCCTTTTCATCTTGACAATAATTTAATAAATAAAATTCTTGATAGGCATCTTACACCATGAATAGACATTTCAAATAGCAATATAGCATTTAAACAAGGTAAACATTTACACAACTCTAGAATTTGAAACAAATTTAAATAGAGGTGAGCTCGTATAATCTTCATTCAACGGAACATAATATTTGCATCATTCCAGTCAAAAGTAATACCTGATTACAGTAGAACCAAAACAAACAAAAAACAAGCCTCTCCAGAAATGAATCTGAGCTTAGCTGATTTGCAGCTCCAGAGTCTGATGGAAACGCGACCAAGACCAATGGAACTTCGACTTCGGAACTTGCCGAAAGTCGATGAAACACAGACAGACCTCGACTCTTCTACCTCGAAACTCGCCGGAAAGTAAAAAAAAACAACCGGATCTGAAATTCTGGCAAAAATCAGAAAATCGAACACACACACCGCTATTTCCACAGCGACAAGCAGCGGTGCGAATAAATGAGGTAGCTGCGGCATAGAACAAGGAGAGATCGTTGGAGTTCGGCCAAACATGGAGCTTTCATGTCAAATCATCCAGATCTGATCGATATGGGGGGTTTAAGAGTGGTCATCGGCGTGGTCCAACGAAGTAGGGGTGCGGTAGATGTGTATATGAATTAGGGGAGGTGGCTATATCTAGGTCTTTGTGTGTTGCGGCTGATGGTTTTTTTGGAGAAGGAGTTGCTACTATGGTGTTTTTTGTGATGAAGAGGAAGCTTAAGGTGTGTAAGGTTTTTAAGATGATAGAAACGGCTCAAGGGTCTTTTTGACTAGGGTTAGTTTTTAATTAAGATATAAGAGGGGAATGGGTAAAGGGGATTGGATTTATGGGCTAGATCCGAATTGGGCCGAATTTTGGCAAACATTTACCTTTAAAAGTGGCTCTTTAACTCTACTAGACTAAAAATATTTATTCCTACAATAATAACTATAAAATTGTGAAATCATTCCTAATCAAAATAAATTACTAGATTAAAATTAAAAAATAAAAGTGAAATTATTTTTGTATATATTTTTTTTATTTTATGAAAGGTAGATAAACTAAAAGTAACTAAATAAAATATCAAATAGCTAAACAAGAGCGAATATTTTTGTAATTTTTATTTATGTGATAAAATAAAGTAAAAGGGTCAAAACTAGTTAAAATAGCGGTATTAGACCTAAACTAACTATTTAAACGCTAAAAATGTAAAATCTTGGGGAGGGTCAAAAATTACATGTCTACAAGGCTTACTCCAGGGACTTTGCAGGTGACCTCGTCAGCTCCATTGTCGATTGTCGGCACAACCTTTACCTCACATGACTGGGATGCATTGTTTTCTGACCATCCATAGGCATCGACGGTTGCTGATGCTCGTCCGGTATGAGATATGGATAGTAGGCATCGAATTAGTTAAGGCTCATATTCATCGAGGGATGCTGAGGAGCTTCCACCGAATTTGGTTAGTTTGTATTACTATTACTTAATTTTTGTGCTTATCTCATTGATTAGTCATAAATATCTAAAGCATTGTTTTGAAGACATCATCCTCACCCATCGCTGAGGTGTCACGACCCGGATTTCCCATCGTCGGGATCCTGATGGAGCCTAACTTTTCAGAATGCTAGGCAAGCCAACAAAAAGATTTAATATGCTAACCATTATCCAAAATGGTAAATAACAGTAATTAAACCAAAACAGAGTAAGAAGTGCGAAAATTCATAATAATCTAAGTACTAATACATGGTTACCCAGAATCTGGTGTCACAATCCACGAACTTCTAAGATTCACTACAAATACTGGTTTGAAGAAAATACATCTGTTCCAAAATAAAATAAAATAGAGAAACCAGGATAACTGGAAAGGGACTCCAGTGTCTGTGAATGCCAGCAGATCTACCTTGGATCTTTTGTTGAACTGAAGGTAGCAACCCAGCTCTGATCTACGCGGTCTAGTCTCGAAAACTGCACAAAAAATGCAGAGTGTAGTATCAGTACAACCGACCCCATGTACTAGTATGTGCCGAGCCTAACCTCGATAAAGTAGTGACGAGACAAGGACACGACAATAATATGAACCTATGCAATTAAATCATATATGAGAAGATAACAACAAATAGAAATTTAAGCAAATATTAACGAGAAGGGGGAGAAACATGTTGAGGGGAATATAAAATCCTGAAATAGTATAGTAAGGAAACGCAGTAAATAACATGCTTAACACCAACGAAAGTAATAACATAGAAAACAAAAGCACGGCATCACCTTTCCTACTTTTACTCTTGTCCTTACCATAAGAAATAATAGAAACGGCACGACATCACCTTTCGTGCATTAACTCTCTCATAACATGGCACGACATTACCCTTTGTGCATTATCACTCACAGGATACGACACGGCATCACCCTTCATGCATTATTACTCAATTACAATGCATTGCACGGCATTACCCTTAGTGTTTTAACACTATCCCTCACTAAAACAATGAACAATAACAACACGGAGATATAATTATCAAGAACCAGTCTTACTTCAACATTTAAATCCACAATACCAGTCTCAACTCTGAGTTAATACTCAATCAGTACCAAACTTCATAAAACATGATAAGAGTTGTTCAACACATGGAATAACAAGTCTAAACATGAAATATATGATCAAAGAGTACAACAGTTACAAGAATAAGACTATCTCGCATGCTATGACTCGACGATTACCCATTCACCCCTCGAGCCTCAATTTGAGGTCTAAATCCCCAAATTTCGAAATTCCCAAATTCTATCCAAAAAACATCCAATTCCACCATGAAAAACCTATATTCTAGAATGAAATCTTGTGAAAAGATGTAATAGATTTAAAGAAATGAGTTAAGAATCATTTACCTGTGATTTGGATAAACTAGCCCATGGAAAATCACCTCTTGAAGTTTAGGTTTTGAAATATCCCGTCTAAGTCCAAACATATCAGTTGCAGATATCGCATTTGCGACCTGAGCTTCGCATTTGCGAAGCTCGCAAATGCGAACCTGTCGCATTTCTGCTGCTGTCGCAAATGCGAAAGTCCCTCCCGCAGACTCACTTCGCAAATGCGAAGTGTTGTTCACATTTGCGAACATGGGCTGGCCCATCTTCTCTTTTCATTTGCGATGAGAAGCTCGCAAATGCGACCTCATCAGTTGTAGCAAATATGAACCTTAACCTTGCATTTGCTAGGTCTGAGGCCTGCAATAAGTTCAGCTATACCAGCAAAATTTCTAAGTTCCAAATCACTCTGTAGCCTATCCGAAACTCACTCGAGCCCTCAGGGCTCCAACCCAAATTGCATGAATTTCAAGAAAGTTCCAAAACTTCTGTTTTCACAACAAAGGGTCTGAATCACGTCAAATCAGTTCTGTTTCTTACCATATTTCACATATAAGTTATAAATATCATAATGGACCTTTACCGAGTTCTGGAACCAAAATACGGACCCGATACCAATGAAATCAACTATTAACCATTTTCTCAAAACTATTATAATTTCAGTTTAACAATTTTCATCAAAAAATCATTTTTCGGGCTAGGGACCTCAATATTCGATTCCGGGCATACGCCCCGGTCCCATATTTTACTACAGACTCTTCAGGACCGTCAAAACACAGGTCTGGGTCCGTTTACTAAAAATGTTAACCGAAGTCAACTAAAATTTACTTTTAAAGGAAAAACTTATTATTTTCTAAAATTTTCACATAAAGGCTTTCGAGAAATGCGCCTAGACTGCACACGCAAATCGAGGAGAAATAAGATAAGGTTTTGAGAGCCTCGAAACCCCAAATTGGGTTCTAAAACACAAGATGACCTTTCGGGTCATCACATTCTCCACCTCTAAAACAATCGTTCGTCCTCGAATGAAAATAGAAAAGTACTTGAGCTAGGGAAAAGATAGGGATATCTGCTCCGCATATCAGACTCGGACTCCCAGGTAGCTGCCTCAATAGGCTGACCTCTCCACTTCACATGAACCGAAGGATAAATCTTCGATCTCAACTAACGAACCTGCCGGTCTAGAATGGCTACCGACTCCTACTCGTAGGTCAAATCATTGTCCAACTGGACAATGCTGAAATCTAACACATGGGATGGATCGCCATGATACTTTCGAAGCATGGACACATGAAATATTGGATGTACCGATGATAAGACTAGTGGCAATGCGAGTCTATAGGACACCTCCCCCACTCGATCAAGGATCTCAAAAGGCCCGATGAGCCTAGGACTTAACTTTCCCTTCTTCCCAAACTACATCACATACTTCATGGATGAAACTCGAAATAACACTCTCTCTTAGACCATGAATTCCACATCATAAACCTTCCGGTCGGCATAACATTTTTGCCTGGACTGAGCTGTACGAAGTCTATCCTGAATTACCTTAACCTTGTCCAAGGCATCCTACGCTAAATCTATTCCCAATAACGCCTCCCCCGGCTCAAACCACCCAACCGCGATCGACACCATCTATCATATAATGCCTCATAGAGAGCCATTTGGGTTCTCGATTGATAACTGTTGTTGTAGGCAAACTCCGCTAATGGCTAGAACGGATCCCAAAAACCTCCAAAGTCAGTAACACAGGTGCGTAGCATATCCTCCAAAATTTGAATAGTATGCTCGGACTACCCATCTGTCTGAGGATGAAATATTTTGCTCAACTCGACCCGCTTACCCAACTCATGCTGTAATACCCTCCAGAAATGCGAGGTAAACTATGTACCTTGATCCGAAATGATAGACACGGGCACACCATGAAGACGAACGATCTCACATATATAGATCTCTGCCAATCGCTCCGAAGAATAGGAAACTGCTACAGGAATGAAATGTGCTGACTTGGTCAGCCTATTCACAATAACCCATATAGCATCAAACTTCCTCTACGTCCGTGGGAGTCCAACAACAAAATGTATAGCAATACGCTCCCACTTCCACTCAGGAATATCAATCTTCTGAAGCAAACCACCATGTCTCTGAAGCTCGTACTTTACTTACTGACAATTGAAATATCGAGCTACATACGCAACGATATATTTCTTCATCCTCCTCCACCAATAATGTTTCTGCAAGTCCTGATACATCTTAGCGGTGCCCAGATGAATAGAATACCAGGAACTATGAGCCTCCTCCAGGATCAATTCACGATGTCCATCCACATTAGGCATACAAACTCGACCCTGCATCACCAAAACTCTATCATCTCCAATAGTAACCTTCTTGGCATCACTGTGTCGCACTGTGTCCCTAAGGACAAGCAAATGAGGATCATCATACTGCCACTCCTTGAAACGCTCAAACAAATAAGACTGAGCGACTGTACAAGCTAGAATACGACTGGGCTCAAAAACATCCAGCCTCATGAACTAATTGGCTAAAGCCTAAACATCTAAAACAAGCGGTCTCTCACCTATTGGAATATACGCAAGGCTACCCAAACTAGATAACTTCCTACTCAAAGCATCGGCCACCACATTGGCCTTTATGGGATGATACGAGATGGTGATATCATAGTCTTTCAATAGATCTAACCATCTCCTTTGCCTCAAATCGAGCTCCTTCTTCTTGAACAAATACTGCAAACTTTTATGATCCGTGAACACCTCACATGACACACCATACTCCAAATCTTCAGCGCGTGAACAATGGCTGCTAGTTCCAAGTCATGAACTGGATAATTCTTCTCGTGAGTCTTCAACTATCGTGAAGCATATGCAATAACCTTGTCACCCTGCATCAACACCGCACCAA